TGTATATATGTGAAAATAATGTGTATAGTGATGTAGGAAAACTACTCCTTATTATATTTATGATTTAAATATGTGGTGTTTTGAATGTAAAAGTCTTTTCTGTTTTGGTTTCTTAATGTTCTGTATTAGCTAATGGGGGCTCGTGATAAAATCATATATAATGAACACTAATAGCACAGGCCTGTAACATAACCTTAGCCTCACCCTGAGAAACTACAGCGACAGTACTGTTGTTTAGCTATTCATTTTATTTTAATTTATTATATATTGTAGCCTGTATGTTAAATTAACATGTTAAAGTTAAATATTCTTAAAGTCTTTAAGAAAGCTGTTTTCTGAGTACCTTTCCAGAGTCATATTGTTCTTTTTTTCAGCAAATAAATCGGTAATCTGTGAATCTTTTCCCTCTAAATCGGATTTAAAAACCCGTACCAGTCGGCTTCTAATCACCATCCTGTTTCCTCCAATTTGTTATCTGGATTAATCCAAAATCATCTGTGTATACGTACAGATATGCTTCACAATAATCATTAATAAATGAACTGGACTCCATATTGTCCCCTAATGAATGAATGAATGAATGACTGTGTGTTTTTCAGGAGTTCCCTTGCAGACGTATCTGCCCGACGTCAAAGAGCTGCTGGATCTGGACGAGTTGAGCAGTTTGAAGTCAAAACCTTATTTTGAGTTTGTCCTTCGAGCCAATTACGAGCATTACCTTCAAGCCCAGATGTGACGACCACTCCTCCTCCTCCTCCTCTTCCTCATTAAACACCTGCTGCACTTCAGCTTTCCTCTGTAGCCCAATGAGTTTGAATTGAAGATTTGTTTGAATTGTGCTCTTTTCTAAATAAATGTGTTATTTCTGTACTGAGATTGAAGTATTTTTATATAAAACCACACAAGGATTTCAGATTTAGCTCAGTGGAGGTTTTTCCATTTACTGACATCTAGTGACGTTTCTGAAGCAACAAAGACAAAATGTACATTTTTATAAAGTATTATTAGTGTAAGAAAAGATCAGATTGTTATTGTATGTATGTTGTTATATGTAATTATCTACAAAAATAGAAGCTATTACTGTCAAATAAGACCTATGGAGGACCACAAGGGAATAAAGCATTTAATTAACTAATTGTGTAATAAAAATAGACATTAACTATAATTAAATAGACTAAATTAGAGAGTAATTCATTATTCACTGTGCATAAATTATATATGATATATACATTATATTAACAATTTAGAGGAAAATGCACTTTTTTACTCCACTACATTTATTTACATTATATTTGTCTCTGCAGATTTTGATGAACAATGCTAAATATAATCAAATACATACTGTCTTATTAAAGATTAAAGATGTTTCACCTGCAGTATATAAAGTAGTTTAAGTAGTAAATTAGCTCAACGTTCAATACTTTTAATATATTAATTTAAAATGGGTCATTCTGTACTTTTACTTTTGGTACTTTAGGTATATTTTGATACTTGAACTGTACTTTTTATTTTAATCATTCATCCAGATCTCTTTGTAGATAATAGATAGATAATACGATATATTAAATCTACTTTTAATTTATTAATGAATTTTAATCCTGTAAAACAATAAAACCTATATTGCTCTGCTTGTTTATGTTGGTCTCTCCGTCTGATATCGGAGCCATTAAACCTAGAAAGTGTCAGGAACCTGAGGCCTCCAGGAGCCGGTCCACATTAGTCGGGACTTCCTCCTGTTTGGTGACGAGTTGCAGATGTTGGTTATAAATAGATTTCTTGGCTGACTGAGCGCCGCCCTTACAGTGGATCCTCCATGATGATCCACTTTCACAGCTACAGCGGCGGCAGCTCACCTACGAATAGTGAAAGTGGGTTGGATTAGGGACATCGATACTCCATCACTGCTTTTAACTGGAGAGATAAACCTTTAAAATAGTTGGACATTTTTTATCTTCAGTTTTATCTTCCTACAGTTGGATAATGATGAATGTGCAAATGGAGGAATAGCAAAGCTTCTCTTTTGCGTGTTTTTAAATGACTTCAGATAATTTTTCTATTATTTATATTTGACACTTCTGTAATTCTTGCTTCCTGTATGTTTGTTATTGTGTGTTTAACAATTAAAAAAAGGGAGACATCTTTAGAAACTAACTAAATTTTAATTAATATTTAATATTATTTAATTATTTTAATGAGGTAGAAGGAGTCGGTGACATTATTAAACATTAGGCCTACTATTTTTTTAATACATGTGCGAAGTTACATCATATTGCACGACGAGGGTCTTATTTAACCTCATCAATATCAGCGGGGGGGGGTTCAACTTGGTGATTTACAGGCTC